CGAAGAGAGGACCGGAACGAGACCTCAGAAACGCCCCCAACAAGCACAAAAGTCTGTTCCTCAGCAATATGTTGGAATTGCGGGAGCACCGAACATAAATTCAGGTCTTGTTCACAGCCAAGAAAAAAATTCTGTTTTAGATGTGGAAAGGATAATGTTTTCGCCAGTTCTTGCCCACATTGTATAAAAAACGGGAGACGGGGTCAACAGTAGGCCGACTGTTGCCGATAAAATCCCCTAAGGCCGAACACTCAAAAATACTCTTGGACTACGTACTTGCGCACGCTAAAGATGACACCAGACCCTACNCAGGGGACCAGAAAGCTGCTCATAGTGAACAATAAGCAGTTTATAATAAGCTAGAGTATACTGCCCAAAATCTAATAGTCTGTAGTTTGAGCTCTCAAACAAGACAGTTGGTTAATATGTGTAATTCCGCTCAGGAGATGTGGAATAAGTAACATAGTGTTTTCGAACAACGAACAGAGCAGAGATAGGATCGACTGTTTAATGAATTTTTTGGCGTGAAAGTGAAAGATCCTTCAGATAGTGTGGCAAAGCATATGACAAAATTAGAAAAACTTTGGGTAGAATTACCAGATAAAACTTGGAAGGAAGTTTTGGTTGTGGACAGAAAGGACATTTGAAAAAAGAATGTAAAAAAACAGAGATTTAGGAAGAACAAATGTTAAGAAAGACAGCGCTTTCATAGAATTAACATATCAGTATGATAATATTGACCAGCGTGAAGTATGGATTGCCGATTCCGGAGCAAATCGGCACATGATGATGCATCGAATGGTTTTCTTCGTTTAAACCCTTCTCAGTCCCTCAATCTGTGTTAGTTGGTAACGGTCACCACATGAAGGCTATAGGAAAGGGGGATATCGATGTTGATATGTGTGTTAATGTGTTAATGGTTTGTACCAGAGGTGGAAAGAAATTAGTTTTCTATTTCTTCGGCGCTCGATAAGGGGATGACTTCATCTTTCAACAAATATGGTTGTAGCAAATTTGAAAATAATGCCAAAGTAAGTGGCATTGGGAGAAAGACAAAATGGTCTTTACTATATGAATATGCGTATTGTTTCACCTGAAGTTGACGCACAAGCTAACATATCTGTTAATGATAAACTCCAATTGTGGCATGAACGTCTGGGCCATCAAAACAAGAAATATGTTCAGAATTTTTTGAATAAACGTGGAATTCATGTAGAAGTCGACAGTGAGTTCTGTGAAGCTTGTATGTTTGGTAAACAACATAGACTGAGCTTCGAAAAACGTAATGAAAGACCCCAGAAAGTAGGTCAAGTGATACATGCTGATGTATGTGGTCCAATGCCCGTAACGCCTC